AAAATCTATTTATAAATATAACCAAATTATTTTGCAGTGTCCAACACTGTTCAAGATTACGTACAAGTTTGGAATCTTGTGTTATTTCGATGTTGCCTTGATATAAAGCCAAAGTAATTTTATTGATGCAACATTATTTTTCAATAAATTTAATTCATTGCATCTTCTGTTTTCCAGGAGAATGACTGTGAAGTGCGTAAAAACATCAAAGACAAGACACATCTATGTGTAAGTAAGGATTAATTTCAGTTGCTGAAATCTCATTTGAAATGTTACGAAGACACAACATAATGACATTGCATGTCGGCAAAACGAAGACAGTACATTTGAATTACTGTTAATTATTATGCATACACAGAATGATGCTGGGCCTGTATTTCTCAGTGCTCCTCCCACCATCATTTGCAACAGGCAGCAGACCGTGTGCTGCAGCATCCCCCTGTGGCTGAACCCAGACTTTGTTTCTCCAGCTGAAGGACCAGCTCGAAAGGATCCACAATGCCTGCCTGTATCAACAGTTCAATAAAGGCGGAAATCATTAGGAGTTTGCAGTTCCACGTAATAACTGTGTTACATCTGATGCAATTCTCACCTTTTTCTTATGTTCTAGCCTTAAACACAAATGAATATCCTGCAAATTCTACAAGACTGCAGAATAAAAACTTGTTGCACACTGAGCTTTTAAATGGTTGGCTACTCCTGGTTTACGGATCAGACACTAGTTGTTCATTATATCTGCATTTCACAATAGCTGTGTTTTATAGAAAAACACAAAAGGAGTTTAATTACTATTATCACCAACTACCTGTGTTGATTAGAGAAAAGTATCTCAGGCCTGAATTTACTTCAGAGAGGCAGTCAAAAGGTTGAACCAAGGGACACATTTTGATAAACCACTGAGATTTTCAATTCACTTTTTCGCTCCACAAAAACGAAATGGAAATCTCTTAAGAGCAGAGTAAAATGTCATGAGTGATTAAACGTTTAGGGTAGTCATTGAAAAACGTAAAATGGTGTTTGTAGACGTGTGTGTGCACAGAATGACCATGAGAGCTGATAAGATGGCATTCCATTAGCTGAGAAGACAACATTCCTTCCTGTTCAAGGTTCCCCAGCAGGACTCCACAGTCTGGTTATGACTCCAAGACAGCTGCTTGACCTTGTGTGTGTGAATGTGTGCGTATGTATGTTTGAGTGGGTATGTGTGTAAGAACTTGCAGCATGCGTCCTGGTGCACACATGCATGTGAGACTATGTGCACAGTTAAGACAGTGGGGCACTCTGGGCGTGTCGCACACTTGAAAGTGATACCACAAACATACTGACCTCTAGTGCTCAAAGAAAAAGACATTTCCACATCCAGGAATTTAGTTGTGACGCTGACCTTAGGTTTGACTCTGCGGAGCTCGCAGGGGCCACCCGGTGGCTGGAAAGTAAAGTCCTCTGACAATCTGGAATGGGACAGGATGGTGGCCACCTCTCCATCAACCTCCACCACTTCATCCACCTGTGAAATACACCCACATCTGACATAATTTGCATACGTGCATGAGAAGATAACACTGAGCTGCTCCTTTATCGCAGGATCTACAGACCTTGAATGTGTACTGACAGTCAAACTGGAAGCTGTCCTCTACTCCTGTAATGTTCCCATTATATACGACCTGACTGGTCTTTGTGTTGCCTTTAGGGACCTTGAAGAGGCGGTATGTGGCAGAGACAAACTTGAAGTCACCTGTATTGCCAGAACAGGTATGAGAGAATCAACAAATGTCTCAGGAGTCAACCTGAAATACAACAATATATAATTTACTGTTTGATATATTCATTTAACAATTAATAACTGACCCTCAAAGTATAATTGGTATTCTTAAACCTGTTTTCACATATTTTGGTGTTGAAATGACTAGTAGGTACAAAACATTTTGGAATCAGTGCAGTAGATGGTTTTAACCGGCAGCTGCGAACTGGCTGCATTGGCTGCAAAGTATTCCTTTGGGGCCATTGTGCCCGTCAAACTAACATTACGACACCGTCATCTTCCTGCAACTACTTGCCTCTCATGGGATTTTAGAGTGAGAACTGTCCTTGAGCAAGACTTTTGCTTCTGGTTAAAAACAAAGGATGTCACTGGGAGTCACTCGTACGGATCCTTTCCATGATGTTGTCATATACCTGGTATAACAGTCTGAGCCTGTCAGTGGCAAAAAGATGCTTTTTTTGGACGTAATTCTGATGGGCACAATTGCCCAGAAGTAATATGCATTTTCAACACCAAAATACTTGAAAATAGGGCCCAGGTTTAAAAACACTAAAATGTGCACCAACACAATTAGCAGTTACCGATACCGATACCAGTTCAGTAGAACCCAGTTTAACCTGCGTTAAACATTAACCAGAGTTGTGCAGCACAAATTAAGTCCAACCCTAGTACAACATAATTAAAAGAGGCTTTACATTTAAGTTTTGTCTTAAAATAGATTGTAAAGTCAGTGCAACAGGATTCATTTATCCAGTTTGAGCATGAATGCTTGTTACTGCAACCCACCCTGTGCTACTGTTTAGAAACAAGCAAACAAGGCAATACAAAAAATAAATAAGTAACAAATACATTTTATCAATTTTATCCAATTATATTAATAATTTTTTTAAAAATTGTATCAATAAATTAAAAATATAGTATCAAACCAAGAATTTCCTGCAGTTCTTTGTTGTCGACAGTGATGCCACTGGCTGTAACCAGCCGTGGTGGGCTGAAGCCCGCTTCTTCAGCCAATTGCAGCAGATCCTCCCACCACAGCGCTCCACCAAGACACTCACCTGCCAACATAAAATGTATTGTGATATTTTGGCACGTGTCTGTGAGCTTTTATGGCAGTAGGATATTAATTTGACGCACCCCATAGGACTTTGTGTTTTTTAATCTCCTCCGTTAGTCTTCCACTGCTATAGACGTCACTGAAGTACAACTCACCACCATCCTAAAAGATCCACAGTCAAACAGTGTATGTAGTGAATCTATCAATGCAAACTACATAGACTAATAGGTTTAATAAGTCATGATTAAAAATGGTTTTGCCTTTTGTCAAGACATTCTTATCATGTTTTGTTTTTGTTTTGATTGGAAAGGGAGGCCAACGCACAAGTGAAAAGCACAGTACCTTGAGCACGCTGTACACTTCAGCCAGCACTCGCTTCTTGTCTGGAGAGAGATTCACCACACAGTTGGAGCTATGGGAGAAAAATCAACGTTTCTATTTTATTTTACAGCTACACAGCATTAGCATCCAAAACAAAGAGAGACTTCCATACATAATGATGTCAAATGAGCTCTTTTCCAGACCCACTTCTCCTAGGGCTTCAAGGTAGCCCCGGACAAAACTGACATTGGGCTTCTTGTAGCCAAACTCTTTCATGTGATAGTCCAAATATGTCCTGGCCACTTCAAGCTAGAAGAGAACACAGACTTGAATGAAGCATCTACTTTCAGTGCACATTTAATTTGGAACAGTCATAGTGCTATTTGTCAGAGTCTATAACATTTGGTTGCATTTGGGTCTTACGCAGTACATAAATACTGTTGTTTACAGGACAGTGACAGCCTTCCCTAATAGTCCGAGGGGACACATTTTTACTTTGCCATATACATCACCGACAGTTCACTGTGCACTATAGCGACACTGTGATGCTGATGTGCATTACCTGGTCCTCAGTCATGTCAATGCCAGTGACATGGCCCTTCTCGCCCACCAGCTGGCTCAGCACATAGCAGTCCCTCCCACTTCCACTGCCCAGGTCCAGTATCCTGCAGCCCTCCAAGCACTCTGGCACCACCAGACCACAGCCATAGTACCTGAAAGGATACCCATTACAAGTCTCAGTGGATCAGTGATTGTTGCGGTGTAATTACATCTAAAGCAACAACAGAGAGTGTAAAGCCCAGCGACCTGGCAGTGACCTCAGGGTGCACTTTCTTCAAAGCCTGGCAGATGAAGGCAGGGGTTTGCTGGGATGGAGCCACACAGGCATTGGTCTTCAAGTCTGAGGAGTTCTTCAGCACCTTGCCATAATAATCCTGTTTGAGCACAGAAAAGCTGGCTGTAGGTTTAGTTGCTCCTCAACATACAGAAGGCTGTCAGCAGTTTGCACACGGTAGGCAGGCGAGCAGTGAAAAACTGTTAGTGTTGTCTAATAAAAGGGCCCCTTAAAAGCTCAACTTTTCTCGGCGAATTTACATTAAGAGTGTACAGAACAGTTATGATCTACAAAAGAACTACTCACAAGACAATGTGAGTGTTTAAGCTGAAGCACTTGAGCTAGGCTAGCGACCGCTGTGAAGTGACGATGACAGTATCGTAAGTTACATTACCTTGACGTGCACGTGAACGGCGCTGTCAACGAAGCCTTTTGCACCCGCACTTAAAAAAGAAGTTTTTCATAACTTATGTTAACTTCAAATTGCATCACAGTTAAGTTCCTGTTATAGCTCTCTACTAAGTCAAGACTGCCGGCTAGCTGCAGCAAATGAAACGTTACATTATTCCACAAGTTTTTAAATGTACATGTTGTTATTTAATACGTATCATGTAATGTTACTGTAAAACAAATGTCAACCGTCCCACGCTAACGTTGAGTGAAGGTTCAAATGTGACACACGCCACTCGCTCGACTTATAATGCAGGCTACATGGAAATTAAACAAGATACGAAGCATGTTACAAGGTTGTTACCTCTTCCCTTCAGCCATTGTCTCGCTGACAAAGTCCACAATTTGTGCAACCAACCCAACCAGCCCAACCAGCGAAGGCAACGAGTGCAAGCCAATCAGAGGCAGAGTAGGCCGGGTCATGACGTCACCTTCCTGGGAGAAAACAACTTCCGGAAGTCATAGCTGAACCTGATCCAAGTCCAAAGAGTATGATGTTCGTTTTTATTTATTACTTATCTTGAGATGTGCAAGTACAGCTTCCACGCAATAATCACACTTACATAACAGTCAGCTTGAATTTAAAATCGTATGTTTATTGAACATACACCCATCATGGTTGTTGTAGTAAATGGCTTATGATCAGAACATTCAAAGAATATGTGCAAAACCACCTTACACACACACACTGGTGAGGAAAGAAAACGTGTCTTTGGCAAGATGCCCCTGAAATTGTTAACTCATCTACTGTGTTGTTAGTCAAACGTACCCTTTGCACAACCTCAGGATTAAGTCTCAAAAGAAGTTATATCTTTCTTTAACAGAAAAAATAATACCTACACAATGAGAGAAAAATCTGTCCATAACTATAAAACTAATGATTTCATAAATTACGAAAGCTAATATTTGGTTCACAAACATGTTACAGAATATTAAAAGTGGTTCTGAAATTTTATACAGTTCCAATAATTGTTTAAAGGATTCAGCTGAAAATAGCTCATCTTGGTAATACATGTACCACAATTACACAACATTATTTTCTAACTCACAAAAAGCATGAACATATACTGTAAAGCACTTTAGAGTGTGTTCAGGCATTGATGGGTACAACTAAGTCATCTTACTGTTAATACAGAAAGTTCGTCTTACAATTGAACATATGCTAGACATTCTGGGATCCACTGCTAGATTGTTTTAGGGTATATGGCTGCAACATTTGTGCTTGACAGACATTGCAATTTGTGCCTTTTTGAGGGTGCTCCAAGGAAAGTCTGTAGTGTCACCAGTTCCAGTTCATTTCAGAGGGGAAAATATTTTACTTAGCTCAATTTGTTTTACATTAATGTGTGTTCATTAATCATCAAATCAACATCTAGTGTGTTACAGCTCCCGTAAGATTTGGTTAGGTTTAAAACATTCAGGATCTTAAAGGCATTTCAGAGTCTTCCAAAGAAGATACATTAATGGAACTGATAACTTATTAATGCTCCAAGTCTGTTTTTGTGTGGTCTTTGTTTTACATCTGCAGTGCTGCGTTATACATGTTGCTTGTTAACTTGTACTGTTTGTCCATCATAAAAAAACACATGCCTGTCAGAAATATCGTGTTGTGCAAACTCTTGTTTATAATAGACATATTTAGATATGAAGAATAACAAAAGACAACAATCAAATTGTTATTTTATTACCATATCTGTTTCTTGGTCTTTGCTTCTGTTGTTTTAGTTTATTTTTTATCTAGCTGTCATTCCAAAAGAGGGATTTTTCCACTCAGCAGGCCACAACTGTACATGAAATTTTAGTCTTAAATTGTCCTGTTGGGTTAAATACTTCTGTTGGTGTGCACACTGGCCGTTTGCTCCTCAACAATGGCCATTATAGGATCACCTTCACATAAAGTTGAGTAATGGATGAATATCCCTCAAATGATTAAATCCCAATACACTAAAACGTGTTTTTTCGACCTAAAAAGGAGCATTTCATCTCTCAGATTGAAAATCACAAATACAGAAGACAAAAATAAGTTAACAAACCATATTTTGGTGAAAATCACACTAGTCCAGATGACTTAAATCAGCCATAATGGACCCTTCAAGAGGCTGTTGTGAAAAGTTTGGTTAATGAATACCACGGCTAAAGCATGGTAAAATTGTGCTAATATGAAAATCCAATACAAAGAGTGTAAATGCATATGTTTTTATACTGTATAGCTGGTGAAGGTGGTAATCTATAGATGTGACTGACGTAAAAGTTTGAGGTCGGATGTTGCCCATCTGTAATCTCTAAGAAGCTTACTATTCTTTTCTTGGTTCTTTTCTCAGTTTCACTAAAGCTTGTTGTTCATCACAATTCTGCATTTTTGGGGGGGTTAGGCACGTACTGCAAACATTCAAGGAATACATTTTTAAAAATTATTGTGTATAAAGTGAATCTGTTGCATTCCCTACTAACAATTCTCAGAGGTCCATTTCTTACAGACTAATCATGTAAGGCAATTTAAGACTAAATTAATGAAAGCATTTTCTGTTAAGATTTTTTTAGCTGAAAGCTTCATTTATAAAGATAAATATGTTTTGTGCAAAATAGGAACTGCTCACATAAAAATTTGTTAATGAACCTCTCTAACACTAGCCGGGCAGATAAAGAGCAACAGACAGCACAAGGCAGAGCGGTTTTTAAATCGCTGAAAAAGCACTTTCGAAGCACAATTCTAACGGCACATCCCACACGGCCTTGTTCTAGTGTCCCTGTACTGTATCAGTTTGCATAAGCGCACACAGTGGTAATCCCACACTGCACTCAATCCACAATTTTTACGTTTCCTGCCTGCAGAGACAGCTTTGCAGAACTGTTGCAAGCACCTGGTGAGGAGAGCTGCATTAATCCTGGGCAGTGATTGTCCTATCCTGACGTCACAGCGACAGTCTGTGACTGTGTATCGGTAGCTTTCGTTGTGTGAGAAGGACAACTCTGTGTGTGTGTGTGTGTGTGTGTGTGTGTGTGTGTGTGAGAGAGAGAGAGAAGTCTCAATTGCCAGAGGCTGTTAAAGGGCTTGTGCTGCCCAAATATAACCCCAGATACACAGGTTAAGGCCACTGTTCCAGTGTGGGGAGGAGTAGGCTTTCTCAACCTTTGGATCTCAGTGGTTTTTAGTTGAGATTCTACATCCTGCTCCCCACCTGTTTTATCTAAGATGCACACATTCATAAAAATACTCACTTAGGAAGCATTTAGACATAAAACACTTGCTCAAATGCAAAAGCTTATGCCTCTACGCTCTGTCTCAAGTGCTCTCTCCTTCCCTCTATGACACAAAGGTGTGTCAACTGTGTTTCAGCCCTGCGGTTCATTGCTGGTGCTGTGGTGCGGCCCCTCCTGCTCGTTGATGGTGTGGAGGAGGAGGCACACTGGAGGGAGAAGCGAAGCGCTTCCTATCTGGTGAGCCGGCTGAGGAGGTCCTGATGGCCCCCGCACGACCCGCCTCTCCGGCCCGCCCAGCGCCTGCTCCTCCTCTACACTGAAGGAGGCTCGATGACCGCAGCTGTCACAGAAGTCGTCTGCCTCCTCCCCCTCCTCCTCCTCCTCGTCATGTCCCTCGCACCCCAGCAGGCTCTCTAGCTCCCTCAACTCCTGGCCTTCCTGGCCTGTCCCTCCAGCTCCACTTAAACCGCTGCTCCCACGTGTGCCGCATACACACACCTCAATCCCAGAGTCCCCAGTGAATCGCCTCCTCCTTCCATTGGGGAGTCGATCTTTGTCCTCAGCACAACCCTCTGACAGGTCCTTCAGCAGTGCGTCCTTGCAGGAGTCGACCCCACCTCCACTCCTTTTCTCCTGGCAATTAAGTCCCTCCCTATTGAGCCCATCTGACAGCAGTATCATGCCTGAATCCTGTGCTGTCTGCATGGACTTGTCAGGCTTTGGTCTGAAGTCTAAGGTGGGGGCCTGTGGTTCCTCTATGGTGGGCCTGCAACACAGACCGTCGGAGACCGGGGTCACCGGAGTGGGCTGGATAGTTGGACAGTGTCCGTCCTGCTGCTCAGGAGCCAGTGGACTAGAAGCCACGGGGGATGGGCCTGTGTGTAAGGCACTGTAGGGAGGGGGAGGAGTCGGTGGCCGGTTGACCACCTCTTCATAGTCAGGCAGGAGGTAGTTTGGCAGAAACCCTGAAGAGGAAAAGATGGAAAAAACAAATAGCTTAGAGTAGAAAAGCACAAAACTAATTACATTTTGCAAGGCAAGCAACATGTAGATAGGTTAGTGTTGACTTTAATAAACACCACGGTCTGACCCTGAACATTTCAGTGAACTTCCCAGACCACTATTCAAGCATTCCCAAAGCAGTAGAGGGAAAATGTGACAAAACAAGCTAATTTCTGGGTCAGTTCTATGCAGAGGGCCGTTGCAGCACTGTGCAAGATGGTGTTGCAACACTGGCGAAGTACCAAGAGAGCAATGCTGGCCGTTTCCTGAAAACTGGGGCATGCAAACAGGGAAGGTTCTGAAGCTGTGTGAAACCAGGGATACATCTCAGTGCAAACATTACACTTGAACCAGGCACCACCTGCTTTACTGCTCACTATGTAACTACAGTTCAGCCCCAAGGTTTTCTTTTCAAGAGACAATGAAGGAAGCTCCTGGACTAAATGACATAGTCACCTCTACAACAGACACAGGTTTAAGTCGTACACTTCAGCTGGTCGGTCTAGTAATGGGGTTGTGTAATAAAAGAAATTGTATTTAATAACAAAACAATTATACATACAATGCATTTACAATACTGTGCGTACCAGCATTAATTTAATTTTTGTGGGTACTAAAAACTGCATCTCCATAACAATATATATATATATTTTTGTTTTCCAACGAAGGTTAAAATCAAGGGCAACTGGACTTGGTTGAAGATACTGGAAGACGCTTCATCCCTCATCCAAAGGACTTCTTCAGTTCTGACTGACTGGCAGGGAAACTCAGCTATTTAACCTCAGTGGGGTCGTTGGCCCGGGTCATCGATACCGCTGGTTCGTTAATGTTCCTTGTTTCTGTGACGACAGTCGTTAAGACTACCTGTGGCCAAGACTGAACGACCATAGTTTCTCTGATACTCCAGACTCAGGAGGAGAAACTCAGGAGGATTTTCAACAAATATAACATCCCTGTGTTTTTTAAACCCAAGAACACACTAAGACAGATGCTGGTACACCCCAAAGACCACACATCCAAACACAAGAAAAGCAATCTAGTGTATGCGGTCCAATGCAGTGAGGAATGCACAGACCTGCATATTGGGGAGACTAAACAACCACTACACAAACGCATGGCTCAACACAGAAGGGCCAATTCCTCAGGTCAAGACTCTGCAGTCTACTTACATCTGAAGGACAGAGGACACTCGTTTGAGGACCACCAGGTGCACATTTTAGACAGAGAAGATGGATGTTTTGAAAGAGGTGTCAAGGAAGCCATCTACACCAGGGTTGAGAAGCCGTCATTGAACAGGGGAGGGGGTCTACGCCACCACTTATCCCCCACTTACAATGCTGTCCTTTCATCATGAACTGAAGAAGTCCTTTGGATAAGGGACGAAACGTCTTCCAGTAGCTTCAACCAAGTCCAGTTGCCCTTTCATTTTAACCTTCGTTGGATAACTATGACCTGGATGACTGAGAATCTTCATAGACATCTTGTCCTTTCATCACTTCCCAGGAAACTCAACAAACGTAACCTATTGGCCTCAGGTGAAGATACCAACGATGGTCGTTCAGTCTTGGTCACAGGTAGTCTTAACGACTGTAACGACTGTCGTCACAGCAACAAGGAACACTAACGAACCAGCGGTATCGATGACCCTGGCCAACGACCCCACTGAGGTTAAATAGCTGAGTTTCCCTGCCAGTCAGTCAGAACTGAAGAAGTCCTTTGGATGAGGGACGAAACGTCTTCCAGTATCTTCAACCAAGTCCAGTTGCCCTTGATTTTAACCTTTGTTGGATAACTATGACCTGGATGACTGAGAATCTTCATAGATATATTTTTGTTTGTTTATTTGTTTGTTTTTTACAAAAGGGGAGGATTAAATTCTGCTCAGTCTCCAATTTCCTATCACTATCATCATTAAGATGTTTTGTTTGTGTGACTGACGGTTACTACAAATTCCACAATGTTCACCAGTCACTGTGTCTGTCTGCTGTTTGGTGCTGAGCAAGTTCTCTGTGTGTGTGCAAACCCTTTCACGCCATATATAGGCATGGGGTTCGTCAATATGAATGAACAACCATCAGTCATTAGGAGAATGGATATAGATGAATAAAATGCATACAACCAGGTACAAAAGGTACACATTAAGTTTTATCATCAAGTGTATGTTTGAGTTGTTAGCTCTTACTGAAGTAGAAGGGCAGGGAGGGGTAGTTGTGTGCTTCGCGGTAAGCAATGAGGTTGATCTCGTGCTGCCGTTGTTGCTGCTGCAGCCGGTGTTTTGTGCGCCGATGGTGACACACACAGCAGCAGCTCAAAATGAAGATGATCGCCCAAACCAACCAAAACCCTGAAGTGAGAGGAAGATCAACACAGTCAAATCGTGTTTACAGTGGGACTCCAACTAAATGGATAAAACGTCAATGTGATTGTTTACTGTTCTTTTTCTTACATAAACTAACATGGCAATGAACAGGTTTAAGCTGGAAAGATTGTACTCTACAAAGTCCATTATGTCTAACTGTATTAGCGTGTGGTGATGTAACATAAAAGTGCCTGCTGCTTACACAAACACAACACTGCAGATCAAATACTGGCAACATCTGGTTCTGACATCTGGAAACATTCACATCATTTCACACCATATGTATTGCATTATGTTATTATTTTATGGCATAGAATCAGTTCAATCATCATTGAGAGGTCCAAGTCTTTTCTTATCTCACTGCACTGACAGATTTATAGTCTCTCCTGATTCTTTGACATATCTGACACCACAGCTGAACTCTGACTTCTCTGGTTTCTCTCTTTGGGAGACATGTTTATAAATGTTGTCTGACATATTCTGGTCCAACCTTGCAGGAAAATCAATTGCAAAAAGTACCATTCATTTCAAAATGTAGAAATCTTGGACAATAGTAATAAAACGCAATCAGAGAAATCTCATTTATAGCTGCAGTTCTTCTTCCCAAAAGCATTCCAACATTATGTGATTGTTTAGGAACAATGTGTGCTTTTTCAATATGGCATTACGTCCTAATTTTTACTGTACTATCTTGAATCCAGTCTAAAAAGCAGCAGGGAACAAAAACTGAGTGGGATTTTAAAAAACGCCCAGTTTTTGTTTGCTGTGTTTGAAATAAGTGGAACGCCACTACCTCAACACAAAAAAATGTGGGAACTTCACTTCAAGGACTACAGGGCAAGACATCCTGTGTCTCTGGCACATAGGAATGTAAACAGTACAATGTGACACTGTGCATGTGTACAATGTGCATCTTTGCTGGTGCCGTGCAGTCATCATGATGTACCAATTCTGCATTTCAGATTTTATCATTACCAACCTTCGTCACATCAAGATGCATGCACACTCATGACTGTACAAGAATTTTTATGTAGAAAATCTGTTCTTAATAATTTTAGTTTGTTATTGCAACATTTTGTGGCCACATTGCTGACGATCTACACCATACTAATTCTGAAAAACCTGGATTATAATTAAACCAGTCAGGCGTCCATCTTAAGTCAGTTTGAACTTTGCTTATTTCTAAGAACCCACACTAACTTTCTCTTAGCAACCCAAATCTACAAATTTTGTTTTACAGATTTTACATCATGTAGTCCAGTCCTATCACACCCTTTCCTGCAAATTACCCAACGACAGTTTCAGATATACTAACAGAATGTAGTGTAAAAAATAAAAAATGTTTTCAGGATCCGTATCAGGAATGTTTGTGTATGTTATATGTTTAGGTCGCCCGATATACTGTTACCGGATTCTCTCAAATATCAATATTGGTATCAACCTCAATAATCCTGTATCGGTTGGGCTATAGTTAGCACATAGTGCTCTTAAGCATATCATTGCATAGGAAATTCGCATTATATCAGACTATATCTGCAATAAGCCAATATCAGCCAATGCATCAGCCTGGCCAGTTTAGTGGTGTAGCTCTGATTCCCATGAAGTTTTCAATATCACGTGGCTCACAGTCTATGGTATGTCACAGTCACACCCTGGACTACAAGATATTCAAAGAACTCCTGCAAATCAAATACCTCCATGACTACCACCTTAAGAAATAAAACTACATAACCTAAAGTGGCCTAAATTGAAACACAATACATGTTGGACTTGATTGCATAGTATTGTTTTAGATATCTTAATAGATTTATTTATGTCACCAAGTGAGCTGGCATCCAATTACACAGAAAATGACATTTCACATCCAAGCATCTGATCAGATTGGTAAAGCAGTGCAATACCTGGTTTGTTTTTTTGAAATCATGCAGAAACATGTTGAAGACGACATCTGAATAGCATCTACATCTGATATGACAGCTTCATTTATCTCTGTGAATATGCAATGATCAAATGCATGAATCTTATTTAGACAGATGGATAAGGTAAATGTGAGTTAACATTCATCATTTGATTGTCCATCAAGTGGTAACGAACTGCATAAACTCAATGACTTGATCATTTTACAACTTTTGAGCAACAGGAATTTATGATACATCCTGCATTAATCATCCCAAGCTATGCATTTCTTAAGCCTGAGTTGTGTCCCCGTATTATAAAGTGTTCTCCAATAAGGTAAGTAAGGTCTTCTGTGTGTAGAAAAAAACTTTAAAAATGTATCTAGAAAATCATTCACAAACAGACTCACGAAATAAAGATAAACTACTTGCAATTAAATTCAAGTAGTGGTGACAGATGTTATCATAATAATAATAATTTCCACCCTAATAAATGTTTACTGTATTTGTTGGCATCAGGTGAGCTCGGCATGATGATGTAAGCGGGGAGCCCTGCTCGAAGTCACAGCATTCACACGCAAGGGATGCCAGTTGTCCAATGAGGCGGTCACTCACACACGGTTGCCATGCCATAAGATTTATGCTGGTTTAGTGAATTTAAGAGGTGAGCTCGTCTCAAGTGATACCTAAGACCTTTAATACTGTACTTAAAAACTCATACGGTACATCACATATTAACACGTTCAAAAATTGGAATGAGGTACAAATCACTAGACATACCTGTACTTACAGTTTATTTAAAGTGAACATGTCCCTCTCAACAATGTGCTCCTTATTGTCGCTTCACTGGACAGAGTTATGTGTGTGCAGAGCCTGACAGTAGAAGGCTGTTTTCACATTTATCTGCTTGGGGGGGGGGGGGGGGGGGGGGGGGGCGTTTCTCTGCTAACATGCCTGGAGTTCTTTTTAACATTTTCAAAACGCTGAAATGAGGTACAGCATTCAATAAGTAAAGAGCTGTCCTCTGGAGTATTTAAACCATTGTTAAGCACAGGAAGTGGTACACTTAAAATCCAGCCAAATGAAAATTCTATCAGGAAGGTGTTTTTATAACTCAAGAAGTCCTGCGAACACAACTATTTTATGGCATTCCACTATGACTGACTGAAAAGGCTGCCTGTCTTAAAACAAAAATAACACAAAATAAATTTTTTTTAAAAACTTTACAGTGTTCTTTGTGTTTCTGTTGTGTGTGCTGCATACACTTATCACCTGTTCACTGTATTTTCAAAAGCTCCATATATTTGGGGCAAATCAATGTAGCCACTAATCTAGTTAGCATGTGTGAAAATTAAACATTTTGGAGAGGGTCCATCCGTGGAGTATTTGTCAAATGAAATGTCCAATTGCTCAGCTAATGTCCAGGTGACTAGTTTCCAGCTCTGCAGCTCCACAAACCTACTTTCTCAGCTGCATCTAAAAAAAATAGGATGATACAATGTCTTTAAAATAGAGATTCACAAAAATCTGTCAAATGAGTAAAAAAAAACACTGCTAATTTATGGGTCTACTTATTTTTCACCCACCTGGAAGGAACATCCCACTCTGCCCACTGGAAAATCTGACATACTGCCCATCACTTGAGCGTCTGATCTCTCAATTTGGCTGCCCAAGAAGTGACATGGCACACTTGAGGGACACTTAATGTCAAGGAGCCGTGTTGAGTCCAAAATTCCATCTGGGCTGGCTTCAAACCAGGGACGGTCAGGTCACGCCATCCGGCCTCTCCTCTCCACAGTGTGCCCTTGAACCTCCAGGAGTTGCGCAGCTTTGTCCACATTTTCCATATTTAGTTGCAGTGTTGCCAGTGAAGTCGGGGTGCAAGTGTTTATTCATAAAGAGAAAGACACTTCTTAATGTTAGTGTTGTGCCATGTTCTGTATGGGGTACCTGTTGATTACACCTGGCTCTGACAGGACTCGCTGTCTTCTTCATATGATCAGTAACACAGCTGTCAGCAGCCTGTGGGGCCATTGCAGAAAACTGAGATAACTTTTAAAATGTGTGTGATCCTTGAAAGGTTTTGGGGTTGAGCTTATGCGATCAGGTGTTGGCTTTGATGAGCCTGGTTTATGATGTTTGACCACAGTGTTTGACATTTACGTGCTTCACCTTTTTCAGCTCTATATTCTTCCTTGTGCCTGCATTCCATTTCCTCTGCACATCTGTACATGATCTCTCTGCCTTTCCCTGTACAAATGTACTCAACCTACATTACCACTTCTGCACTCCGCGGCTGTATGTAATATGCAATATGAAACCGAAATAAACAAGTTATCAGAAGAGACACTGTTTTTTCACCCTTCACAGTTTTGCAGATGTTTTTTTGCAAGTCCATTCCGATCCTGCAATAGTTGTCTGAGGACAGAAGGGAAACTAAAACCCCTGCCTGGTGATGAGAGACTTTGAGGCTTTGACTTGGCTCCTTGTCTACTTTTAGACAGACACAACTGTGTCCCACCTCCTTCAATATTTGTTTGCTACATAACTACTGATAAGCCTCTGAGCTTTTCAGATTGTTCAATACTTTGCCATCTATAGCAACAGAATGAAGCAGCTAAAATATACTACTTGTACGTTATCCGTGGACACTTCAGGTTCTCCTCCCATCTCTCGATAGTAGAGGAAATGACAACATTAACCCGTTTTAAAAAGGTAGGACAAGTTGCTTTCCAGGATCATCTATTTCAAAAACCTCTGAGAAAAATGGAACAAAACTGTAGCATACCGCTAATTCTAGCAGATACCGGTTCAACGAAACGAAGGTCCGGAAGTCGCACCCAAGGAACTGTGGGGGCTAGCAATATTGAGGATTGTGGAGGCAGGATACTTACACCAGAGCTCATAGTAGTAGCTGCAGCACTGAGACTCCCCGCAGCAGTGTCCAGACTCACAGATGTAGCTCTGGTTGTTAACACCTTCACAGTGCAGTAGGCTCTGCAGGAGAGAAGCAGTGCCACTTTAAGAGCAATGTATTATCAACATCTCATCTTAAAAAAAATAAGGTACAACACCAGCTTGAGGAATCTGGTTACGGTGTGCTGTTCCAATAAAAAAATAACAGAGCCCCCCCACCATGTTTCATGTTTTATTTTTTGATTCACACAGGGTGAAATTACATTTGTTCAGGGTTTTACACTGATCAACAGAGATGTTGCCAAAGTAAAAACAAATCTCTAAATCGGTCTACATTAAGTCCAGCTAAAAGGTTTCAGTAACTGTTTTTAGATGCTACACAAGTTAAATTTAGCCACACCTCAAATTATACCCTGCTTTATTGTCTATTTTCCACTAAATGGGACCATCATTTATTAAATGAACATCATGCTGTGCGAAGAAGACTTGAAAGTGGCGACTGAGACATAAACTCATTAGTAAATTGTTTTACTGAGGTACTAAATTCATTATTCATAGACTTCTGTACAATCGGACTTCTTTTTGCAACCAGTTGAGTCGACCCCTGCTGGCAATTAGAAAGAATGCAGGTTAAAGGCACATATGCATTGGCTTCACTTTTCAGACCCGAAGGCTGCGTCCACTTCTTTTATACAGTCTGAGGGTCCACTGCTAAAACGAGATAAAAACATGCCACTACTAGAACCCTCGTTGCTCCTTACAGCCTACACAAACAAAGTGGTTTGAACTGAATAAACTAATTTCTACAGTGTGCTTGGGTTCGGTCATAGTAAAAAGAACACAGGTGTTACCCATAACATTAAGAGGTCTCTGCTCTATATATACATATTTCTAAACAGGTTTTTAAGTAATATGGTATGTACTATGTACACACTCACGCAAAGACAGCATGCATCTTTTTTGAGTGTGCTGTTGATACATACACTATGGTCCCTCATTGCAATTCACAAAAGAAATGGAGGAGATAGTCAAAAATTAAAAAAAACAAATTTAATTATGGAAAGGTGGTGAAAAGTCACATTTGGTGTCTGATAGCACAGGTATCGTTTCCTGTTATTATATAATTGTAAATATAAAAGTATTGTTGATTTCTCATATAATAACAATACCAGTATACTATAGTTTATAGGGCTATACCGAAAAGTTTGAAGCATTGGGGCATTGACATTCGAATACTGCTCAGTTTTATTCATTCTGTTTAAACCTGGTATTTCTGCACAGTTGCAGATACAGACTGCACTAGTATTATTAGTATTTACTATTTGTGAAATTAAATTCCAGTGGGGTCTGCGTAGGATTGTTTCCCACCGTATGATCGAAACATTTCCAGAGTGTTTTAAAGTCCAAAAGTCAAAATTTTGTGAAAGATTCACAAAATGCTTTTATCTAATCAAATAATTCTGCTTCTGTCCATATTTATTTTTTGACTGTTCAGATTTTGGGATTAGCCTCCAGCCTACATGTATTTATGTTGGCGAAACTGACGAGTTATATTCATTAAAGAAAGTTGATTAAATACAAAAAGACTAACTCAGTTAACCTGGCGAATGGACTTTTTTGGCCGATGACGTCATAAAATATGACGACAGACAATCAAGGATTCATGTGAAAACATCAAAAGAAGTTTGAATGTAAAACAAAAAAGACATTTGGTGCGACCCCAGTAAATAGTGCATCCTTTGTACAGTTAGCATGTAGTATAGGACTGGCACAGAGCGATATTTACATGCCCTGATCTTTGATTTAGAAAAATAATGATAATACTGCAGATATCTAGTAGCCAACATTTATACTTAGCTATGAGTAAACAAGTCCTAGGCACTTGTGCTGGTAAGCTACTAGAATTTCACCAGTGTTTAAGGCCCATATCAAGTGCAAATTCTTGAATCACAGCCAGCACTAAACCACTCAGTATGTCGCCCAAGATCTAATACACAATTTCAACTTAAAAGTTAAGCTGAGACCTAAAAAGAACTGGGAAATATCAGAAGAGGTTTGAGACAACAATTTGTCTCCACTGTTAATATAGCAAACTAGCAGCTCCGCCTGATCAAAAGCAAACCTGACTGAGCTTATCCATCATTCACCCATGAAAAAGTTAAGTTGTGAAAGAACAAAGGCTCGATGATAATCAGATCAGATATATCAGCATAGTACCAGCTGACAAGGGAGCACTATAATCAAAATCCTCTCATGAGAAAGGTCTACGGATTTTTCCAGGAAGATCTCAGATGTTTTCTTCTAGATTAGCTTAATGATTAGCCAGCTAAAGTTCTTTATAAAGATAGTTTTCCCTCACTATATATTACCAGCGCAGGTTGCCGGTTGAGAGGCATGATGATCCAGGGTCCAAAAATCCTAGACAAGTCCCTTCACCTCATGGGTCATTATCCCACAGAAGAAAAAAGTAAAACAGCTCTCAAACTTACTCTCACTCCCTCTCCCTGTACACCCTACCCACACACACCCATAACCCCCACCCACTCACACACTCCCTCACTCCAGTCCAGTCCAGGCCCGAACAGTGGACAAGGATTGCTCTACGGAAATTTCCAAGCAGCTCCTCCTGGCGGGGCCGCTGCATGATAATAAGGCACACAGAGCGGTGAGAGGTGTCTGTGTGTGTAGGCAAGTTCGAGGCAGCAAGAAAAGCACTGAGAAAGACAGACAGAGCAGTAACACAGGAATGATTCGTCACACACGACATGCCGGATCAGCACAAACCAAACTGCTGACATTAAATGTAGCCAAAACCTCAAGCCTGACAAATTAATCATTTCTCAACAGCTGTTTCAACCTTTTCAAAAACTTTCTTTTTTAAACCAAGCCAAACAAAGAGGGACTTGAAGCTCTGTGTAATAAAAACACACTGTTCTGTTCTTCCCTCTGATAATTTCAGCTGTTTTCAACGACTCAATAACTGTTCTCCACCATTTGCTCTCCACTTGGCAGGCTGAGCGCTTTTTGCAATTTGATCCCAATAACCATCTAGTTTGTTTGGGTCTTCAGTCTGTGCTGCATAAAGATAGCTGGGTACTGAAGGGGGTCGGGATTTCACAAACAGGCTTTCATAAAGGAAAAGTGCTCCATCTAATCAGAAAAAATCTAGGTTATACGAGACCCTCCCTGAGTAACAGTTATGTTTTAATGATCCTGTGAGTCAGACAGTGACAGTGCAAAGAATCTGCACAGACTAGATTCCTCCGTGTCCCATCCAAACAGGAGACAATGAAACAATCCACCTCTCTCATGCTATACTACCAGATTAAAGGTGGATTTAGTTACGTTCCCAGAAATGATTGCTGCATTAGAAAATAATCAACCTTAATAATGAGAAGCTGTTGAAATGAGCAGACAATGAGAACAGTTCAAAAATCCCCAGGTGACTATCAAATACTGTTCCTTGAGATAAGTGGCTACAGTTCTTAGTTAATTCTTCACTGCGTCGTCAGAGTTGATCCACTTAGCACAGGCCTGTGGGACTTGTCAAGTTAGCTGATGCATGTCAGAAGACCTCACTAACCCCTTATTTATTATTCTGTCCTGCAACAATGAAAGGTGCTCTTTCATGGTCATCAAGGTTAGTCAGAGCAAAACACTGCTGACACATTTCTAGGAACCTTTAATACCAGACATCCCCCCCAACGTACGTACGCCTTCTAGCTTTCAATAGCTGAGGAGGTCAGTTAAACTTGAGTTTCCAAATTTTATCTAAAAGTCAGAACGTACAGTATGTTTTGCCAGCACAAAATGAGATTTAAACAAACTCTAGCTGTTACTATTTAACTACAATCAAGCTTTGACGCAGAACTGTTGGTGCCAAGTAAGAGTTAAAGCCGACACAACCAGCGTGCTGAAGCCAAACACTTAAGGCAGAGTCAACTAGAACATCCACGATGGACTTTCTAGGCTGAGCTATATCGAGCAGAATTATCCTCATTTACATTTCACACATTTAGTGCAACACAAAGATTGTTATTAATGTATTATGAACACTGAGAATTATGATGGATTAAACTTGAAAATGGTTGGGAACCACCACTGTAAAGAAATGAGGGTCCTCATTTTCTTGCGAAAAAAAGAAAACTAAAGTATTTATGCTTTTAGTGTGTGTGTGGTGGAGGTTGACATGTTTCCCTGGCTGGCTTTATTTTACCCCACTATGTCATGGGACTGTAGTAGCTAACTAAACTTTACAAGCTCTTTGTCAAAACAAGAATATATATAAATCAGGCTTTAAATAAGATTTGCAAAGTATGCACAGTTTGCACAATAACAGTTTGTAGTTATTTTCCATCCTGAAAGCAATTTACTGTGTCGTTCACGGTGATAGTGAGTCATAAACCTTTCACTCTCATTAAAGGTAAGAAGTGTGAATGGGTCCTTTTTCAAATAGTACCAAGGAGAAATGTTGATCATAATGTCTAGAGTAACATGTAATCATTCAGGGCTTAAAGCACAAATTTTTCTGTGCCTGAAATTTTTTGGGGTTTACGACAAAGATGGACGGAAGGAGGCAAGAGCGTAACTCTGTGTTGCAAACTGACATAGGGGTTCACATTAAGGGTGTGACTATACACTTAGCTAAGGAAACATGAGGAACACGATACTGAGTTCACAAGAACAAGCTGAGAAGACAATTGTACACTGTTTTGATGAAAAGTTCAATGTGGAAATATATGATTGGGGAGGGGGGTGGGGGGGGGGGGGGGTAGCTCCCGTCCTTTTCTGCCACCACCTATAATCAGTGCTTGAAGTGGAAAATATAGGTGCTGGTACTTAGGGCTGGGCAATACGGCCAAAAATGTTACTACATAAAACATTTCATATCATTCAATATTGATCAATAAAGTCTCATGAGAAATGGATAATTTTCTTTCAGGTTTAAAGGCTGATTTTTGCTCCTGAGTGAAAGTGAAGAAACCAGATGGTTCATTGTGGTTTAAACTATTTATGGTTGGAACAAACACTTGATTCCAAACAGAGGATCATTTCACAAATCTGATACAAAACATTCAAAACTATTATGATTAAGTAAAATATTTTTCTTAACAAAATAAATATCTTAATAGAAAAAGTGCTGATTTGTTCGTGATTCAAATGAAATAAATCAAACATTTATAAACAAATGTTGTTACGATAATTATCCTTGTTGTTTTATTGCCCAGCCCTGCTGGTAACCGCCATTCATCATTATAATTTCAGATAATAGTATGGCTAGCTACTATAAAGCTTACCACTGATGTAATATTAATTCCAGTTGGACAGCAGTTTAATTTCTGTGGGTTTTCATTTATTAAATCCTTGTGTAAGAAAAATTATCTACATGATACTCAGTCTCTAATTAGTTAATGCTAAGTACTAACCCGTCAATAATCCTTCATGCAGAACAGCAAGTTCAACGTTTTAAAAGTTTGCTGTAGTGCAACAAACTTTTTTAATGTCCCGCCCCCTCCAGGCTGGGATTAATCGGTTCACGAAAAGTTACTGTGACAGCTACTTTCTGCTCACGGCTGCATGAAAGGCCCCCCGAGCTTCTACCTGCTCTGTCTGCGCCGATAGAGATCAGCAGACAGGCGAGAATGGGAACAGATGAGCACTACATAGAGCCCACCGGTATGCAAAAAGGTCCTGGGGAGCCAAAGACTAAAATGTAGAAGTAACTTACTGGTACCGGTGGCCCACTTCAGCACCGACTATTATCAAAATTGACACCACTTATCTGTGAAGCTGTAGTCATTCTGACAAAAATGGCCTTAATACGTCCAGACGATCCAATCCAGTAAAAGATTTAGTCCAAAGCGCATTATTATATCAATAAATACACATGAACTGCTCTTACGAGATTTTATATTAGCCTAACTGCTGTTAGCATGTAACCAAAAAAAGTGTCTACGCGTTGACCTTTTGGGTGACACCTTAATGACCCAACAGAAACTTCCATGCCGTGTTCACGGCCTACAATAGCCAATGAGTGTCCACGTATATTGGGAAGTGCCAGTCCCCTTTCTGTATAAACCGACAGAGACACCGGGCTACCAATTGTGCAGAGGAAGACTGGCTCTTCACACACATATCACGCGACAGTTTAAAAAAATGCCCGAATATTTCCCACAGACATTAACATACTGTATATTGTCGTATAGAAAAACACCCAATGCCAGAATTCCGGCACAGCACCGGAGAACTTTAAGCCCTGTGTAATCACTGGTTACATAATGCTGCGACACAGACAAATTATAGCTCACTGTGTTGTATGAAGTGGTAACAGATGTGAATGCAAATAGCAGATACAGCTCAGGGCCATGTGTTGCAACTATTGTCTCCCAGTAGTCAGTGTGTCCCGATTCCAATTATAAAATCGGAAATCGAACGAAATGAGCTTTCTGAGATTCTCCTAGTATTTATTCTCTCCAACCCTGCCTACTTGGGTTCGTCCAATGCAGTGTTTCAGACTAACTTTTTTCCTCGGTTGCACTGGTGCAACTACATTTTTCATAAAGGTGCACCTAAATTTTGTGGCAGTGCACCTACATTTTTCACAGCCTCTTTAGCAACTTAACAGTATATTCTAACCTGCTGCCATTTCCCATACACACATTGATAGTTTATAAATGATTGTAAACAGGCTATGTGCATTGCCAATGCCATAGGTATAGGCACCGCAGGAGTGTAAATACAGCGCCACATCTCTGCTTTTGATTGGCTCTCACTTTCTTCCACAAGGGAGTTTTAGGGAAAACACACAGATGGAGAAAAAAAAACTGTCCTGCCAAATATTAGGTGCACCAGTGCGACCAAGAAAAACATTTAGTTGCACGAAACAGATTTTTTAGTCACACTCTGGAGCCATGGTCGAACGTACATTCAGGGCGTGTCCATATGAGAAAATTACACTACTTCACTGCTATTTTCACATCTAGACATCTAGATCTGAACCTGATCCAATGTGGTAGTGAAAACAGCAGTTAACTCACACTTTTTTTGCATTTTCACAAATAGAGTACAGGTTTCACAAATATCTTTAGCTTCTCTGGAATAATCTAGTTCAGATTTGACAGGACAGCAGTTTTTGATCTGGACCTGGTCCAATGTGGTCTAGATGCGAAAAAAGCAGTGAAATCGCCTTTTTTTGCATTTTCACAATTACAATAAAAGGTTTTACAAATTTGAAAGTGGGTTTCAGACAGCGTTAAGGCATTACTTAAAATGAAGGATGGGTCACTCAGCAGTGTAAGTTAACTTTCCCTTAACTGCAACTGTTTGAAGCTAACTACAGTGTTGTGGCCACTGCTGGAGTCAGAGATATCACAGTTCTTTCATTGACCTTCGCTGTTCACCATCACTACGGTTATCTAGTTAGCTCAGTGTTAAATTTAAACTCTGATCATTTGTACAAATTAGGACAAATTGGTATGCATGCTTCCCCACCAGTAACAGGAAGCTTCATATTAGCAGTATTAAGCTAGCAGTATTAACAATTAACAGTGCCATTGTATGTAGTCATAGTAAGCAACATAGATATAATAAGAGAATTAAGCTCTAATAAGACATCTATTGTAAGCAGGCACTAATAAAGAATCGTCTTCTTCGTGTTTTTGGCGAATTGCAATTTCAAATGCCTTAGTCTTCTCTAATGAACTTTGCTCTACATTATATAGCGACGTCACGGTTCTAGATCGGCCCACTGTGGGTTTAGAGGTTTAACTGGAGGCTCACGTTGTGCCCCCTCATGCAGCGCCCCTGGTCTACAAACTGCAGTGAACCCTTCCCAACTTCCCACAACAAACCTGCTAAATCACATTATGGTTCGGGTTACTCACAAGGCCACTTTCCTTAAAGGGGGTTGGTGGCTTTTTGCAGGCGAGGAAAGTCAAGCTGTTGTTGTAAAGTACCTTTATGCCATGTCATGACTCTTCTTGTAGTTCTGTTTAACAGCTTGTTTGCAAATGAATGGTAAAATAAGTTATTATTATTTGTTATTAGTTACATTTTAAATGAATTATTAGTGCGGTATGTTCCCACACAAATATGGCAGTTATATCACACTTGATACCTGTAGGTTGTCTTTGTAAAGAAGAAATTGAAAATGTAAATGGCAGTTGTCAGGTCATAAAACAAATGATAGGATATCTGTACAAATCAAGACTGTATAGTCTAAAAATGCCATAGCATGGTTGCAGACAATCTGCATGCTCATGATTTATTTTCACTAGCAGATGCTGAAAAGAAAAAGTCTAAATCAAAAATCGAATCACGACCTTAAAATTGAAAGTTTAGCCAAATAGTAGAGTTGGAGAATTGTAACACATCTACCCAGTAGCCCAGGGCCATCAGCTTTACATGCAACCAGCATGACATACTTCTGTTCTCTGGTATTTGTTTACCACTTAAGTTCTTCTTGAAACTATGTCAAACAACTTCATGCAAATATGTATAGTTTTATAACTCTATGGTTACATATGCGTGCACTGATAAACATATTCAGACACTACAAGTGAGACCGCACATAATAACTGGACTTGGGAGTAGAAACCCAACATAGTTGTTGTGACCCCGTGTCTTGATTTATTTGGAGGACTCTTGGTTAGCAGAGGAACTTAAACTTTTAACATGTAAGTTGGTATCTTGTATGAAGGTTAAAATGACTGATGTGTGATTACTGATAAATTTCCTCTGTACTTTATCATAACATAGATAATATTTACAGTAATGGCAACACAACATAATACTATATCTACTGTGCACATACAGTTCTAAATTAGTCTTAAGTAGTTTGCAAGTTTATGGTTACATACTCAAGCCCCATCATTGTAGTGAAGTCACTCAAGGCTTTGATTGTATGATTTTCATTAGCACATGAAAAAAACACTATTCACCTCAATTTTCTTTTATCTCTTTATCTTTCAATGAACAGTGATATGATGAATAATTGCAGTCTAAATATACAAGATACTACGTAAAACACAAATGTTGATAAGGCAACAGTACCTGATGCTTTCTAACTACATTTATGAAGGATAAAACTGCCAGATGACCCGATGATTAGGGAGATTATAACGATGTCAGTGTCAACATTAACTTCTAACGTTATCTTGACACAGGACAGCTATAAAGTTCATAAACCAACAATAGCTATTTTCTGCTTTGCTGGTACAAAACTCTTGTACAAATAAGTGCTAGTTGTTATACCTACCGGTGTGGCTGCATTGGACATAAAGAACTGCTTTTGTTGTTTACGCTACTCACTTCTGGCCAAAATGTCAACTCTCCACCATAAACAGAGCAGAGCGAGGCCCTGACTCGCGGGTGTCCCTTTACTTCAACAATGCTACCGCAGATAGCAACCGAACTTAGCAGGCATGCTAACATCCTTCATGACAGCACAGTACACGTTAAAGTGAGCCAATATCTTAGGACAACGGATGTACTATAATGCAATAATGATGTTTATTGTTGTTTAATAATCGAATACATATCTATTTGGACAGTTCGCCAACTTAACAGGGTAACTAGCTAGCTAACACTCCTGTGAGCGAAAGCCTTGTTTTTGACTGCCAATCTAACTTACCCTGTCTGCTGCGGACTCGGTGGGGAGACAGAGCCAACAGCGTGCAAAAACAATCCCATTTTAAGAGCCGAACATACGCCTCTCATTCCTCGAAAAAGTAGCTACAGCTACGGCAAAAAACATACGCATGCAAACACTGTTGTTCGGGAACTGTGTCCGAATATCCTCAACTATTTCTCAGCCCCTGTCTCGCTGAGACGCCGCCTGAATGCGTACTAGACATTTCAACAAGGCACGGTGCTGGCGCAACTGGTCGCTGTCGGTGCCAGTGATATGGCTGTTACACAAGCCGTTCCTTCAGCACAGGCACTCTGCCTCGGTCTGCTGGGTGTGGCGTGGTCACCTCGACCCGATCCATGTGCGCAACGTGATGGGCGTTCAATTGAGTGGATCGCCACTGGTTTTGCGGACTGACCCGCGATTGGACAGTCAGGCCCAGCTGGGAAGGGGCTGACCAATCACTGATCGGTGCGTCTCCAGTGCATGGGCTTTCTTCCTGTGCTCCTCTTCCCTGATTGATGGGAACACATGTTTAAAAGATTAGTTAAGAGTTATTGATCCAATTTAAAATCCTGTAAATTGTGTTATCCACCCTTATTAGACCGCATTCAAAGTGCACCCTCATGGGAGGAAGGTTCCACATTGTACCAAAGGCCAGTCAAATTCATACCCAGCAAGTCAGCTCACACTGCAAATAGAAGTCAGAACTGAAGATGCCTCTTGGATGAGATGCAAAACGTCTTCAGGTATCCTTGGATAACTATGACCTGGATAACTGAGAATCTTCACAGACCGCAAACTGTCTTCTCAATTCCGACTAAAGCTTGTAAACATAAAACAGCCCAAAGTCAACTAATGTGCAGTTCTGAGATAATTAAGGAAGACACAGGAAGACATCTGCTATTACCCTTCAGTATGTTTTATTCATATTACTCATCTTTAATAAAATACGGTGTCAAGGCTCTCCTATATAAAATGTCTTTAGGCCAGTTCACTCAGCGTGCAAAATCACACACCTTTCCACTTAATTCTAGTGGGATCTAGTCCTGAAGATAATTTTGGATTTAACTGTTTAGAGATATTCACATTTGAAACTTTTGCTGCCAGCACTGTATAATGGACATTTGTACAACTTAACAATGTTCGTAGTTACTCATCTTAATCCATCTACTTTCTGCTGAAGAAACCATCCGTACAAAATAACAATTGTAATTTTTAAAGGCTGTGGACTGTACAACAAAATTCCATTTATTGTATTGTACTGGGGTGGTAGTTAAAGTTTTAGAGATGGACATCTCAAAACCTCGGCACATACCACTTAAACAATCTGGAGGGACAGATACCATTAGGGTTAAGTAAGAAGAAGTGTTGGTTTTGAGACTTGAATGAACTCAATCCTTTAATCTGTGGAGTAAAATTAGCATTCAAGTCAAACAGGGATCTTACATGAGTTGTGAAGCAGTAAAACATCATTAAAATAAGTTATTCAGGCAGATTCCATTGTCATTATCCATCAATCATCATGATTTATCATAAAGCCAGACAAGGCATTGTGACTGGCTTGTTGACTAGCAAATCATCACCAGTCCCTTTCATGAGCCTGCCTGTACGGTATGCCTAAAAGACTAAAAACATCCTCCTCTGTCAGTGTAGAAAGTGGAGTGCCGCCATACATCTTCAAGTTACCATGGCGCACCACATCTTTGTTCAATGAGTGCTCTGATAAACTCATGTTTTTTGTCTTTGCCAGGGCTCTCATTGAGCGGTTGAAGTGTGCCGACCCGGTGAAATACATGAGAGCACAGGCAAACTCATTGTAGGGCACTACAATGATGTCCAGCCTGCGATGGCGGTGGCCGGGTCCTGGCAAACGGCACACACCCATGTATTTCTTCTGCTCTCCATTCTCCTCGTGGCTCACCAGATCATCCGTCAAAAACCCTTAGAAATAAACAGTTGGGTTTTTCAGTTTCTCTGAAGGAAAACAAACCTCTGAATAAGATGTGGGGAAATCCTTAGCCCCTACAAAGAAAGATGGACCTTACCACTGTCATGGAGGCTCTGCAGTACTTTGCTGAAAACGCCCTTGTGGGACTTGCCATCAGGATGAGTTATAAGTACGTCAACATCTCCACATGTGGCCTTTCTCCGTCGGTAGGAGCCACATGCCATCGCCACCAGCTGTGGGTCTATGGCCTGGGTAGCATCCCTCACCTGCACATACCCCCACCCCCAAAAAAGACATAAAATAGAGGCTATCGTCCATCCTTCAGTGATGTTGAGTGAAATCTTTGGCTTCTCAATAATATAAAAAAGCACATTGTTTACTCTGTATGTTCTCTTGTTTGTTCATTTGCAATAATGAAAAACAAATCCTCAATTTTTCTTTATAAAATAAAATTTATATATATAAAAATATTTTTTTTAAAAAGTATGATACTGAAAAATCTGGTAATATGGTAATATTTTTTTTACAGTTTTGTGTTTGATTTTCACTTCTTTGTAACATCTAAGCAGCAGCAGAGTGATAATGGACACTGAGTGCTGTAAATATGACAATATTTAATAAAAAACACAATTGTAGAAACATCTTAATATTTGCCACTAGCCACCAGACTGCCACAAGGTGCCACAGAGTGCAACAGGGTGCCACTAGCTGCAAGAGGGTGCCACTAGTGCCACAGAGTGCCAACTAGCTGTCACAGAGTGCAACAGGGTGCCACTAGCTGTCACAGAGTGCTACAGGGTGCCACTAGCTGCCAGAGGGTGCCACTAGTTGCCGCAGAGTGCCACAGGGTGCCACTAGTTGCCACAGAGTGCAACAGGGTACCACTAGCTACCATAGAGTGCCACAGGGTACCACTAGCTACCATAGAGTGCCACAGGGTACCACTAGCTACCATAGAGTGCCACAGGGTGCCACTAGTTGCCACAGAGTGCAACAGGGTACCACTAGCTACCATAGAGTGCCACAGGGTACCACTAGCTACCATAGAGTGCAACAGGGTGCCACTAGCTGCCAGAGGGTGCCACAGGGTGCCACTAGCTCCCACAGAGTGCAACAGGGTGCCAGTAGTTGCCACCTAGTGCCACAGGGTGCCACTAGCTACCATAGAGTGCAACAGGGTGCCACTAGCTGCCAGAGGGTGCCACAGGGTGCCACTAGCTACCACAGAGTGCAACAGGGTGCCAGTAGTTGCCACCTAGTGCCACAGGGTGCCACTAGCTACCATAGAGTGCAACAGGGTGCCACTAGCTGCCAGAGGGTGCCACAGGGTGCCACTAGCTACCATAGAGTGCAACAGGGTGCCACTAGCTGCCAGAGGGTGCCACAGGGTGCCTCTAGCTACCACAGAGTGCAACAGGGTGCCAGTAGTTGCCACCTAGTGCCACAGGGTGCCACTAGCTACCATAGAGTGCAACAGGGTGCCACTAGCTGCCAGAGGGTGCCACAGGGTGCCACTAGCTACCACAGAGTGCAACAGGGTGCCAGTAGTTGCCACCTAGTGCCACAGGGTGCCACTAGCTGCCAGAGGGTGCCACTATCTTAATATTTGCCACTAGCCACCAGACTGCCACAAGGTGCCACAGAGTGCAACAGGGTGCCACTAGCTGCAAGAGGGTGCCACTGGTTGCCACAGAGTGCCAACTAGCTGTCACAGAGTGCAACAGGGTGCCACTAGTTGCCACAGAGTGCCAACTAGCTGTCACAGAGTGCAACAGGGTGCCACTAGCTGCCACAGAGTGCAACAGGGTGCCACTAGTTGCCACCTAGTGCCACAGGGTGCCACTAGCTACCACAGAGTGCAACAGGGTGCCACTAGCTGCCAGAGGGTGCCACTGGTTGCCACTAGCTGCCAGAGGGTGCCACTGGTTGCCACAGAGTGCAACAGGGTACCACTAGCTACCATAGAGTGCAACAGGGTGCCACTAGCTGCCACAGGGTGCCTCTAGCTACCACAGAGTGCAACAGGGTGCCACTAGTTGCCACAGAGTGCCACAGGGTGCCACTAGCTACCATAGAGTGCAACAGGGTGCCACTAGTTGCCACAGAGTGCCACAGGGTGCCTCTAGCTACCACAGAGTGCAACAGGGTGCCACTAGTTGCCACAGAGTGCAACAGGGTGCCACTAGTTGCCACAGAGTGCAACAGGGTGCCACTAGCTGCCAGAGGGTGCCACTAGTTGCCACAGAGTGCCACAGGGTGCCTCTAGCTACCACAGAGTGCAACAGGGTGCCACTAGTTGCCACAGAGTGCCACAGGGTGCCACTAGCTACCACAGAGTGCAACAGGGTGCCACTAGTTGCCACAGAGTGCCACGGGGTGCCTCTAGCTACCACAGAGTGCAACAGGGTGCCACCCTGGCTGCCACAGGGTGCTACAGGGTGCCACTAGCTGTCACAGAGTGCAACAGGGTGCCACTAGCTGCCAGAGGGTGCCACAGGGTGCCTCTAGCTACCACAGAGTGCAACAGGGTGCCAGTAGTTGCCACCTAGTGCCACAGGGTGCCACTAGCTACCATAGAGTGCAACAGGGTGCCACTAGCTGCCAGAGGGTGCCACAGGGTGCCACTAGCTACCACAGAGTGCAACAGGGTGCCAGTAGTTGCCACCTAGTGCCACAGGGTGCCACTAGCTGCCAGAGGGTGCCACTATCTTAATATTTGCCACTAGCCACCAGACTGCCACAAGGTGCCACAGAGTGCAACAGGGTGCCACTAGCTGCAAGAGGGTGCCACTGGTTGCCACAGAGTGCCAACTAGCTGTCACAGAGTGCAACAGGGTGCCACTAGTTGCCACAGAGTGCCAACTAGCTGTCACAGAGTGCAACAGGGTGCCACTAGCTGCCACAGAGTGCAACAGGGTGCCACTAGTTGCCACCTAGTGCCACAGGGTGCCACTAGCTACCACAGAGTGCAACAGGGTGCCACTAGCTGCCAGAGGGTGCCACTGGTTGCCACTAGCTGCCAGAGGGTGCCACTGGTTGCCACAGAGTGCCACAGGGTGCCACTAGCTGCCAGAG